AAACATGGCTAGAGAATTTGAACTAAGGAACCTAAGTGACTTTGAACTCAGAACTCTTGTTGTTGTTGTTGTTGTTGTTGTTGTTAGCATTTCTTTCAAACCATGTAAGGGAATGTGTTGACCAGCCTAGTCTAGGAAGTCTGTTTATTCATTTATCTGGTCAACAGGGGAGAGTGTCACGGATGTCATTACATGTGTCGTGACATCGCGTCACGCACTATGTTCGCAATGTATCATGGATAAGAATGGAATGAGAACGCCTTCAAGATGGCGTTTTAATGTTGTTGTTATAAAATGTTGTTATTGGAAAATGAGCCTTTATTCTGCCTTGAATGATTGAACGAATCGCGAACTACGAGAGAGCAACAACAGATTGTCAAATTTTGAATATTTTACACGCGTCTTATGTTCAACTGCTGATTGGACTGGAAATCGTATGGGCCTCAGTCTATTCGAGGAGCGGGAAGGAAGGGAGGGAAAAGATGCGACTGAAACTACTGGCATGAACAAACAATTTTGGCACCTGAGCTTGGGGAAGATAAAACTACAGACCTTTCCACATTTTTGCCTCCACCTTCAGAATGCAAGAAAAGTAGCCCAGATGAGTTTGTTTCTAAACAAGCACTTTCAAATAAACTGCTGATGCTTGGTGAGATCGGTGTGTGCACGTGCACGTGTCTTGGTTAGTTAGCTCTTCAGAATACTAAACTCACGGTCCCTACCGCCCCGATAGTGGTTCGCGGGGCCAGTTTTGTGGCTATCGATTAAACGTCGTTTGACCAATATCAATTGATATGATCAATTGCCTAATACTTATCGATTGACAACGGGCGATCGAAAGATTTTCTAATAATCTGTTTTAATATAAAGAGCTAATGTATTTTTTTTTTTTGAAATATTCGCAATAATTAACAGTTGATCTGCACCATTTTAAAACCCCAATTTTGATTCGTTCTTGTTGATTGGTGCTTCTGTTGTTCTTAAGGGTAACTATAGGGGCATTGTATTGTTTACTTATTGTTGCATTTGGCCGGTTATAACGAACCTTTAACCAATGCAGGTCACGCCAAATTAAAATTATTGTTATGGGAAACGTTTATGGCTGCATAACTTAGTATAAATCTGTCATGCATGACCTTCTGCTGTTAAAAAGTGGATGCAAAAACATAAAAATAAAAAATACGGTAGAACAGATAAAGCCATCGCAAAATAATCTTAAGCAGCTTTCTCTTTTTAAATTCCAAATAGATTTCTGTCTTGACTTAATCAGCCAGTTCAAAAAGCTATTCCACCGCGAATGGCAAAAAATAACATCTAGCAAGAGCGCTTGGGGTGCATATTTTTCGTTCGGCACTACCGCGTAAACATACTTTTAAGCTTTAATTTAAAAGGCTTATTTACCTCTTGGCGCTAAGTTGACCTTTTTCAATAGCTTTGTTTTACCACATTTTGATTATGGACCGAGACATCATCTGGGTTGACCGAAGAAATTTGACATCAATGGACGACTTACGAGTGCTTCAAAATAAAGCTGCCCGTATTATTCTAATCTCCCCAGACGCGTATCTTCTAGTGACGCTCCAGGAAAATTATATTCGAAACCACTATTGCGCTGAAGAGCCGAACGCTTTGCCATTCTTGTTTATAAATTAATTAATAACTTTTTTTTCTCACGCCTCTCGATATAGTTTTAATCGCGATATTCATGGTTATAATACCCGATCTAGGAAGAATTTTAGGAAAACCGCAGCCAAAAGAAGGTGGGACCACGGGGCCAATATTAACTTTGCTGCGAATGAGTGGAATTCCCTTGATCTGTCACTTAGGGAAGCCGCCTCCTGACCCAGCTTTTAAGGAAAACTCTCCAAAGTCATTTTTAAACTACCTATTAATTAGTAACGTTTAGAGTGGTTTTCAATTGAGTGTCGTAAGACCAAAACCAAAGCAATTAACTTACCAATTAGACTACTCAGCCACTCCCAAACCGTTGTAAAACCAAAACCAAAACCAAAATAATTACCTGATTACTTTCGACACTCAATTGAAAACTGGTCTAGTTTCTCTATTATAATATAATCGTATGTTTTGAATGTACGGTTATAATTTTGGATATGTAAAATTAAAACTTTTTTTATCACATACGCTAGTATTTCTGTCAATGATTTTAGTTTAATGAGGAACCTCAAGTAAATCACGTTTTTAAAGTGAAGTTGGCATCCTTAATAAAACTTATCATTCCTTCCTTCCTTCCTTCCTTCCTTCCTTCCTTTCTTCCTTCCTTCCTTCCTTCCTTCCTTCCTTCCTTCATTCATTCATTCATTCAAAGATCAGTTGTAAAATCTCAAACCATTTTTTACCCAATAAAACTTATCTTTATGTATTTTTATTAGGCAATGATTCACATGCCTACTACTCGTTTCAAAAAGGTATCTCGAAATTATGTATTCTACAGAAGGTAGAGAGATTCTCGCTCATTTGTTTGTTTAACTATAATTATTGCTGCCCCAACGGAGCGACTAATTCTCTTCACACATTACCATTTTTATTATATGGAGAAGAGTGTTTTACTGGGAACTAAACCACTCGTAGATTCCATACGCCACTTCA